GTTTGAGTGCTGTTGTCAGGCCGTTCCCGACCCGCCACCACCGCTCTACAAGCTATTGCTGGTCCCCAGGCACACGATGCTTTTGCACTGGGGTATTACTTTCCAGCAGCTAGCTTCTGGTGGCTCCCTCCCCCTTCTGTTTATCCTCTGATATCTGTCCACGCAATCACAACTACATCCTTCAGAGCTCTCCACTGATGATCTGATCCTCTGCCCCCTTAAGAGATCCAAACTATAATCTTACATGTCACGCTGATTTCGTGAGTATTCAGAGTGGTTTGGTAGATATCTAGCTAAATGGAGTCCCCCACTTCTCCGCCATCTTGCCCCTTATACCCTAGTCTACATTTTTAAGTCAATGGCAAAATGAGGGAAAGAAATAAGAACAAAAGATACATAGAAAGTTTTTCATTATTTTCCTCCGTGTTTGGTGAAATATGACTTTTCCATGATCATGCCAGGCCAACACATTCCCCCAGATCCACTGATCACTTAAAACACACGCAAATACTGGTCCATGACAGGAAAAGAGTGTTTTTATAAATCATATACATCTCTGAATGATTTATAAATTTTACTTTTTTAGAGTAAAGTTAGGAATTCTACCTGAACCAAACTTACATATTAGAAAATATTTTAAATTTAATCTAGTGGGGTGGGTGTGGGTGGGGGAAGCATTTGTAACAGGTATGTGCATTTTGATTATTGATTTATGTAGTTAGGAAATTCACTGAGTGGGAGTGGGGTAGACTTCCACTGCATAAGGACATTTTTTTCTAATTTAAGAAAGATAAAAATGGATGAACCAATTTATAAAAGTTCTGGTAAACTTTAGTAGAAATGCTGGTGTAATTTTAGAGAAAAAATAGATTATCTGCAAAATTAAAACTCAATGCTAAACAGACTGAAAATATTAAAGAGATGAATGAGTGTAAATATAAAGAATGGCATAGCAAAATGCTATAGAACTCATCAAATAGAAAAATCAGAGTCCAGTCAGAAACTTCTGCATTAAACGTAGATGAGCATATGTAAAGATGCATTTAAAAACTATAAAGTCTACAACAGAAAGTATAAGGGTCAGTAGCCAAATGTAGAAATGCTAAATTAATATTTAAAAGTCACAAGGGTCAGCAAGATTTGTATATCTTATATCAGGGACAAAGGTGGAGCAAATTTTTCATAATATTGTATTTATTCAATTGGATGTTCTGAAATTATGTCCCATTTGTCAAAATGATGGTGCTAATGGATAATTATATTTTAGATGACCTTTACATGAAAAATATTTTTAAATGGAAACGGTGTTTCTCTGAAATTTTCTCTTGAAATTTTAATCAATCAAAATGTGGGAGAAAACTACCTAGAATATTGTTTCAGTCTTCCACTTTATTGGTTTGTGAAGATCCGGGCTAAAGTTACCCATAACACACAAATGATTGTCATGAAACTTGTCAGGAAGCTCAAATGCGATGCCAATAGTAAATCTACATTAAACACTACAAAATTTGGTTGGATACCAATCAGCTTCACATAGACGTAGAGTTGATCCTGCATTTAAAAGGGTGACTAAGAAGACAATAACAATATATTGCACTTAATTATATTTGAATCCCAAGTTTTAATACTCTCTTTGTGAGTTGGCCACTGGAAGCTCAGGGACCCCAATTCCATCCCTCAGGATAATTAATGATGGCAGTTTTTTTATATCTACTTGTTGATGCCATCTGCTGCACATGCTGTCTCACTAAGATAAATGACTTAGCCCATTGCAGATAAAAATGTTTTCCATCAGAAGCAGGCTGTGACACTACAATGGAAAACAAGCTCAACCTGACTTTATGAATGGTAAAAATTTCCTTGCTAGAATGTGCAATGGTAGATGATATTGTTAATATTGATTTTTATCTATACAAGGGTAACCATGTCAACAAGATCAATTCTTTTAGTCACATCAGTTGTTGTAGGATAAAAAATATCCACTAGCTGCCAAAACTGAATTTAATACCACATTGTGGTTTAAATTTTAACTTTAGCCCATCAGGTTTTAGTTTTTTTAAGGGGAGGTAAGAAGTGAAATATTGATGATTTTTAGCTATTGTAATCAGCCAGGGTTAATGTGCAATTACACAGAAAAGGACTGAAGTAAACCAAGATTTAGGATTATTTCTATAGAAAGTGATATCCTTGGACTGGAGTATCTGTCATTATTCTTTTTTTCCCTCTATACCCTGGAGAATTTAAGTTAGTTGTGAAGAAATAAACACATTTTAGACAAAAATTGATAAAATTTTAAAAAATTGTACTTGCAGGGCTCATGAATAAAATTTTGACTTTTAAAGCATGAAAAGACATATATGTAGATTATAATGGTAATACAATACACTGTCTTTTTATTACCATCAATAATGTCATCTGTCATTATTCTGTGCTGTTCCCTGTTACTTTCATAAAAGTTATAGCAAGCCATAATAATATTCTGTTTTTAACTATTTTTTTCTCTAAAAGCATATTTTTAGTTTCAGAAGACAGACTCGTTTTTAAAATATTTTTTGCTTATTTGATTTTATCTAGCAGTGCCAAGCATATCATGGGCAATTAAAGCAATTTTTGGAAAAAAATTAATGAGTGCATCTGCAAAAGTTTGTGATGTGCCATAATGTACCCAACCATTGTTCTTTGGAAGAACTATAGTGTCCATTAACCTAAATGCAGGTGATTTAGATAAAAAAACTAAATATTCAGTGTACAAATACTTGTGTACATTTGATTGAGGCAGAACTTTCTATGTGTGCTGACTTTGTTGCTGTTTTTTGACTGGATCAGAAGGCAGAAGGAGACAGATGGTAGAAATGTTTCTTTTCTTTAGAATACTTAGAATGTATTAAACTACATTAAACTGTATTGTTAGATTACAGAGATCAGAGTTTTTATTGAAAATGACTCAGAGGAAAATGCAGATTCTGGGACCAAAAAAATGAGAAGAGATGAGCTTTTAGTTGGGAGAATTTTTCTCTCTGGGCCTCATAATAATTGAACCTAGAAGAGAGTGTTCCACTGCTTTTCTGATGGTGAGACATAAACTGACCTTGCTACTTGTAAGCAAGTTGTCAGCTAGAGTGCTACACCGTTAGGGAATCCTTGAGGGCAATCCCCCGGCCAGGGAGCTCTGAAATAAACCACATAGATTCTCAGTTGTAAATAGCTGCTGACTGTATCCCCCTTTGTTAACTATGAACTTTCAGTTAAATCTTTTTAAAGTTGTGATTCAGTCACAATTTCTGTAGGAGGAAATTTAGGGTAGGACCTATTTAACTCTTATACCAAAATGGTAACATGGAGGTCTATGCCTTCCTCACACCCATATGGCTTCAAGTTCATTGCTGCAATGGGCCAAAGGATATGGGGTCCTGAAGACGGACCAGGAAAGTGAGGCAGTCATGCAGGCTGGTGTCCAATACTGCTATTTACAGCAATGGCAGCTACAGCAAGAAGCAGAAGAGTAAAACCATTAATGGCTAGTGAGTGTTTACTCTGTTCTAATATAATGTACCAATTCACTTAATTATCCCAATATTATGAGGTAGTGCTATTATTAATATGCCAGTCATGAATGGAGAGGGACTGTGGCAGAGTCATCACAATGTTGATATTAATAGGTAAGACATATTTACGTGGATTCTCATTAGTTGATCATGACCATCATACTCTCTATTGGTGAGGGTTCTTTGGGAGAGCTTGGAGGCAAGGGTAGACTAGAATAGAAAATCATGGAAAGAGCTTTTATTAATCACTAAGACTTGTGAATTATCTACTTGGATTAGAACATCAGTTTTCCAAAAAGTTAAGAGATCCAAAGGACTGTGTCTTAGTTGTTAAATACTCTGTACGTCCTATTCTCCCAGGAGCTTCTTTGTGAACTGCTCAGCAGAGTAATTAGTAACACATAACTAATAACTATTAAATTATTATGAAATGATTTGCCCCAGCATAATTTATCTTTTAGCTCCCAGGGCCTTCCTGAGACGTAGGTACCTTGTTGATCAATTGACCCTGTGTCTAAGAAGAAATAGGCGCTAGATGCTCTGATTACTCCATTTTCAGCCATTACCACATATCAAAAACCAAAAAGAAATTACGGAGGACTCTTGAGCCTCAGGAGTTCCTCTCTATCCCTTCTCCTTTCTTGAATTGGTTTAAGAGAGAAAGGGAGAGAGACTACTTCACTTTTATATTGAAACTCTAGTGTTAAAACTGGGCTACACAAATCTATTTTCTATAGAGTACTTGTAGATAAAAGAGGAAGAATGAAAGAGAATGATAGTGACAAAAAGAGTTCACTATCTGGAAACATGACTGCCGAGGCTAGATAACTGAGCTAGGATACAATGTAGTTGGAGGGATGATTCTGACTGACTTTATTACTGACTTTGATTGTTATTGTCGAATGGATTTGGCAGTGATCTCTATTGATTCTTAAGGTGGCTTTGTATACAGAGTCAACTAAGCTTTAGTTATGTTTTGGTGTACATCTATAAATCTGTCTATTTATTTTCATTTTCTTGGTATTTTATCAGAGGAAAAAAATGTGCTTATTTTCTGCATGTGATGAACTACTTTAACCCTTCATAAGTAATTTCAAGTATTAATAATAAACAAATAAAACTATTTGTTTCTGAAAGATATAAATATCAACCAGCAGGCACTAAAAATGGGAATCATAAGGGACATTCTAAGGTTATTGGGGTAAAGACTCAATGGAGCAGAGAATTCATAAACATTCCAGGATAAAATATGAAATGCAAAGCTCAAGTTGACATATCTGTTGTGAAGCATTTTGTTTTGAACTTAATTCTCCAAACAAACAAAATATTATAGAGATTTTTAAGGACAGATGATATATACGCAATAAAAACGTGAAGTATCATCTAATTATTTAGATTTTAATCTTGATAGATTTTTTTCATTGAGTTGTTAAGTGCTCTGTTTTTTCCTTTCAGGTGTTTGGTCCGGTGTCCCAAAAATCAAACCTATTCAAGGTCCTACTTTTATTCCCTTGGAGATCCTGGCATCATGTCTACAAGCATGACACATGGTGGGCTTAAATGTATTTCGTCTGCTTTTCCTTATTTCTTTTGTTAGCATATGCTGTGCTTACAGTGTTACTATATGGGAAATAGATAACCTAACTGCTGGGCAGCACTAAGAACCGTAGAATACAGAACTGAATACTTAGTTGATACCCTCTGTCATGAACCCAAGTTTCTTACCTGGAAATGGAATTTAAAAAAGAAGAAAGCAAAAATTTTTTTAAAGGCAGGGGCGAGAGTGTGAGGGGAATGCACATTCTGCATAAAGGAGTTAAAAATATTATGTTTTATTTTTTCCAGTCAATATTTTCAAAAATAATTCCACCCACGGTAATTGGCTTAGACATAAGAAGTCTACTGGCTTCCAGGGGAATAGTTCATCAAAGCTCTCTCATTAAGAGTCCTGAGTACTAGAGGGGACAATCTCTGCTGCGCTGACATTTGCCCTGCCTATTGTTATGGACCCAAGGAGAAAGGCCATCATTTTTTAGTCTTCTTTACAGAACCCGTGGGATTCCAGACCTTGGAAGCTTCCTTATCCTCAGAATTCTTAATTTCCCCCTAACGGTTAAATGCACATTACCTCTTCTGATTTCCCTACAAGCTCTGAGACTCATTGTATCTTCTACTTTGTTGTATATACTACAAAACAATTAAGATTTTTTACAACTATCCAATAAACATGTATTAATTGTTGATTCAAACTCATGTCTCATAAAACTGTAAAGGAGATTTTCTATTTGTGTAATTTTATTTGTACAGCTTGAACAAATAGTTCACACTTTAAATGCCTTCAAATTTGTTTTTCAATCAATCAATACATATTTACTGAAAGGTTTCTGTATACTCAGCAAGGCACTGGATGAATGATAATAGGGTTGAGCAAATCCTTGGAATCTAGTTTTATCCCAGTTCTGTAGAAAACATTCCTCTCCCTATATTTGTTCCAATCTCAAGATGACTCTCAGTTTTGCATCAGATGTGACATTTTTGTAATGTGGTTTGAGATAATCATTTAACATTGTATCCTTTTTAAAAAATAAAGTAAAATATTCAATAACTTTTGAAAACAAGAATAAAGAATGGTGCTTTGCCTTACAATAGTTAAAATATGTATGTAAAGTTGAGATGTTATGTACTACCTTTAATTATTTCATTTGGTTGCTAAGCAAATATCAAGTGAAAATTTAGTGACTAATACAATATATAATTTAAGAAGCACTATTGTAAATGTTAATCCATGTATCAATTAAGCAGGGCAAAATACCAAATCCAGGTGTGTGCATGCATGTGGGTATGTGCATGTGGGCTGAATTCACATATATTCATATATTCTTACATGTAAAACTTGGGTATTTCATAAAATTGACATCTTAAACATATAGAGAAAGAAGATTACTTTATCATATACAGCAACGACTTGCTTCTATTTAGGAAATAATAACTTAAATTCCCTTTCACCACATAAATCAAAATAAATTCTAGATATATTTAATATGTTACAATGAAATTTTAAAGTGATTTTAAAAATAGAATGCATCTTAGGGTAGGGAAGTACTTTCCAAGTACATCAAGGGGAGGGGCATAAAGAAAAAAGATTTACCACATGAAATTAAAACTGTTAATATGGAAAAGTTAAAATAACAGTCAAGAACTTTTAAAACTTGTACCACATATGTAAGGAAGATCTAGTGATCTTACTGCAAAATTAATATGTAAAATATTTTGGAGATCCATTATAGTTGAGAACAAATGCACCACCAAATATTAATTTTCTTTACTTGCATAGAAGGAGATGAGAACACACAAAGCAAATTTAGTCTAAATACTGATAAAAATAAAAAAACTTCATGTTTGTTAATCATTTATTTTAGACTATCAAAACTTGCTAAATACATAAAAAGCAATTTGAATTTAGTAAAAAAATAACATCTGTATAAATAGAACAGTGGTTGAGGATACACACAAAGATAGTTCATACATGTTGAACTGCAATTAATAAATATAGTAAAAGATGTTCAATTTATCTTGTAATCAAAATGAGGTATCTTTTTTCCACCAAATTGACAAAAATATTGAAAAACAACAATATCCTATTTGGAAAGAATGTGGCAAAACACTGACACTCTTGCATGATACTGTTTATTTGTAAATTAACTCAATCTTAAGAGTATTTTGACAACAAGAACATTAAACCTTAAAAATGTACATATTTTTTTAAATCAGAAATTTCACTTTCTGAGAATCAAGTCTTCAAAATATAATCAGAGAAATGAACAAAATGCCTCTCTCAGGTGCTCAAGAACACCTTAGTCATGGTAGTCATATTTTAGAAACAACATTTAATGCCCTCCATATGGGGTGTTTAAATGGCAGCCACTAACCATAACAGTATTAGTGCATATGTGCTGATTTGGGAACTGGTTTGCCATATACTATTAAGTGAAAAACAAAACAAAATTTGGTAAAGAATGGTCTCAGGTTCTCATAAATGCTTATTTGGAGCACTGATTCCAGGATGAAAGCAAATCTCTTTAGTAGATCTCAGGGAACACTGTAGAACATAGCCCAAATCCACCCCTTTCTTTGTTTATCTTCTTCCCATGGACCGGAATATTCTCATTAGTTCCTGATGTAGGTGATTTTGCAGATGTTGTAATTGTATTCTCCCCTTCTCTGCATAGCTAAATCCTACTGATTTTTCCTTCACTTTCCCCAATTTTTTCATATGATTTTGCTGCATGATTTATCATGATACCGACTAAGAGGGAAAAGTGAAAACAGGGCGTAGAAATAAGGTATAACCAGAGAGTATGGAATTATACAATGCAATCGGGATGGAGCTCTCTGAGAAGGTTACAGCTCAACCATGGGGATGAGAAGAAATCAACCAGTGAGTCAGAGAATAGTGTTTCAGGCAGAGGTGAGACAGTAGCAAACATAAAGGGCCCAGGCACCAAGGGCCCTGTCTTGTTTATACTGCAAGGAGGGACATGTGGCCGTATAAACCTGGAAATGACACAACAGTGGCTCTAGGTGAACTAGGGGAGGTAGGCAAGGGTCAGATTATGCAGCCCTTTAGATCAAGACAAGGTATCTGAATTTGTTCAAAGCATAGTGGGAAGCCATTATAGGATTTTATGGTTGGGGGGGTCACTTGGTTTGATTTATGTTTTTAAAGATAGCTCTGGTAACCTTAGTTCTAGCTGTGAAGTCCTTGAAAACACTAACTATGACCAACTATACAAAGCAACTGTTAGAAAGCACTGGAAAGCAACTAAAAGAGGTTCGGTTGTAAGGCTCTTGTCCTTAGGAGAAGGGAAGCAAAAGTGGTGACGAGAGCATTTGGGCTGCTTTCTTCAAAGGTGTTTTCCCATTTTCAGCTCATGGGAATGAGCAACAGAAAACGGCCGATTTTACAGAGATGAGTTTGGTACTACGAAAATGGATGAGACTTGAGACGGAAAAATCCTGGAGAAAGGCAACTTCATAAAAGTGAGTACAAAAAGCTGCATGCAAATTTCTCAAACGTTTGGCTGATTCCCAAGCTATACCTTGGTAGAGCAAGATTTTCAGAAACCTGGCAGAAGACTGGCTACAAGCCAAACTGGTTAGCAGGGATTTACAGGTGCATTGACATTTAGATTCTCCCAAGATGGAGGGGCCTTATTAAACTCCAAGTACTTCTAGCTGAGACCCCAGAAGGGCTATGCCTAACAGGAGAATAGCCAGAGAACTCTGGGCAGGAGCATAGCCAGAGGACTGTATCTAGGAGTAGGGACAAATCAAAATATCCTCTTAGAAACAGATTTCATGGAGAATAGAGACTCAGAACCTTTAGGAAGGAGGAAGTTGGATTAGATAAATGTATGGGATTGACTGAATAAAACCTCAAATTTGATTTCCCTAATAGTAGGAACATTCAAGTTTCATAAAGAAAAATAAACAGTGTTTTTGGCTATCTCAAGTGTGTTCTCTGAATCAGCCTGGAATGAAATCTTGGAAGGATTTCCTTGGAGAACTAGTATATTGTTCCTAGTGAATTTAATCAATGCTATTTTCTGGATTTGTTGTATGTATTAGTCAATGTTTGCCAGAGAAACAGAATCAATATAATGTGTGTATACAGAGGAGGTTTATTATAAAGAACCGGCTCGCATGATTATGGAAGCTGGCAAGTCCAAAATTGCAGTATAGTCCAGTAGGCCGGAGTCCCAGGAGAGGTTATGGCACAGATCAAGTCCAAGGGCATTCATGGGAGAATTCCCTGTCGCTGGGGAGGCCAGTCATTTTATTCTCTTTAGGCCTTCCCTTGACTGAATGAGGCCTAACCACATTAAGCAGAGAATGTGCTTTACTCAAAGTTCACCGATTTAAATGTTAATCTCATCCAAAAATATCCTCCATGTTGACATAAAGCTAATAATCACAAGGTATAAAGTGAATAAAATGCAAAGATGTGAAGTGTTTAATGCAAAGAGTTTTGGCAAGTATATGCTCTTAGGTGATTGCACCACAACTGAAAATATTTCTATCCCACAGAATGTTTTCTCATGCACCCTTCATTCAGTCTCTCACCATGACAGGCAATCATCGATTTGATTTCTATTATCAGTTGTTTCTGGCCTATGGCGCTATATAAATAAAATTTTAAATAACTGGCTTTTTTTGCCCAACATGACTTCTGTGAGACTCCTTCATGCTCTTGTGTACCCTGATTGTGCTTTTATTTATATTTCTTACCAGTGTTCCCTATATAAATATCCACAGTGTTTATTCATTCGTATTGTAGTTTGTTTCCAATTTTTAGTATTATAAATAAAACTGTATTAAGCATTCTTGTGCAAGTATTTTGGGGACCATAGGTTTTGATTTCTCCTGGGAAGATATTTAGGAGTGAATTTGCTGGATTACAGGGTAGGTGCATTTTAACTTCATAGTGAACAGCTAAATAGTTTTCCAAGTGATGGTACCAGTTCCCTTTCCCCAAAAATGTATGAAAGTTCCAGTGGTTGCACATGCCTGCTGACACGGGGTATTGTCATTCTTTTTAATTTTAGTCATTCTAGTGACATGATTTCTTGATGTAGTTTTACTTGCATTTCCAGGATGAGTAATAATATTGAATGCCTTTTATGTGTTTATTGATCAGTTGCATGTTCTTTGGGGAAGTGTCTGATAGTCTTTTGCCCATTTTTTGTGTGCTTGTCTTTATATTGCAAAGCTTTGGAGATTTTTAAAATATATATTCTAGAAACAAATTCTTTATCATATATATGCATTGAAAATATAAATATCCAAGTCTGTGTTTTACTTTTTCATTTTTTTAATGATTCTTTTTGATGAGCACATACTATTTTGTCACCGTTGGTCTTATTTACCTTTTCTGTTAGTGCTCTTTGTGTTCTGTGTTCTGTAGAAATATTTGTTTACCCTCTATCACAAAGATATTCTTCTCTTTTATTCTACAAGTTTTATATCTTTACGTTTTACATTCCTTTTATCACTCACCTTGCACTATTTTCTTCACAGCTTTCCTGAAGCATAATTGGCATATATTAAACTGTACATATTGTGTAAGAAGCCAGGTATGGCGTCTCAAGGGAGTCTTACATCTCAGTCTAATGGAAATTGTTATTTCATTTTCTCAGAGTTCTAAGTACACATTTTCAACATATACCTGCCATGCATTTTTTAATTCCACTAGTCTGATGTATACTTTCAAGTCTTTAAGCACTATTTTATTTGATCTTTCATCCCGAGCCTTTGAGCGAGGCAAAGTGGTTTCATCCCATTCTACTTGTTAAGCCACAAATAAGTTAGGGCCAGAGATTGCTATGAGGGCCATGTTGCTTTTCAAAGATTCTATTACTTTTTCTTTATAATTGTGGTTTTAAAATATATCTATATCGATCATCTATCTATCATCTATCTATCTATCATCTATCTATCTATCATCTATCTATCTATCTATCTATCTATCTATCTATCTATCTATCTATC